CCCTGGCTCTTACTCATCTTTGAATGCCTTCCTTACATCCACAGAGTCACAGAATTTTAGCTGTAAGAGACTAAGAAATCATCAGCTCCAAGCCTCTTGAGTGTGCTCTCTCTCCTCAGCCTCTGAGCTTCTTTATTTCTGTTTTCCATCTTGCTTTCTCAGCTCCCTTTCTCATTCCTGACATCTGAGTCTCATGTTCTCCCCCCCCTTTTTTTTTTAAATTGAAGTACCATCAGTTATAATGTGTCAATTTCTGGTGCACAGCACAGTGTCCCAGTCATGTGCATACATACGTATATTCGTTTTCATGTTCCATTCTATTTTTCTTCTTTTCCTCTTCTTTTTTTTTTTTTAAAAACTCAGATATGTAACTGATAGGAGAATGCGATTGCCTTTAATTAGTCACCTAGGTTCCTAATTTTAAAATAAATGAATTTAATATTTTATATTTTTCTTATAGGGAAAAAATCTTATTTTTCCAGGGTGTTACTGGTCCCTCCAGGATCTAAGCAGTAACCTTAAGTAACCTTATAGATCCCCCTGTGCCAGAGTCACCAGCAGTTTCAGTATTCTTTATGACCTAATTGAATTCAAAACAAAACCAAACCAAAAACCTTCTATGCCTTTCTGTTATTATCAGAAAGAAAGAAATGATTTCCCCTGTTCTTCAACACTCCCCCCCCATCACAGAAAAAAATTCTCCTTTATTTTCTTTTCTGTTTTATGTATTTTGTTTGGTTTTCTGAGCTGTTCATCTTCATTGAAAATAGTCCTATAGTCAGTGATACCTTCCTGTTTCCTCTCTGTGTCTCCTCCTGGTTGACAAATGGCAATATCTATATTTTTCCTTTCCTCCTTTTTCTAACCAGGAGCGTAGGGCAGCAGCTCTCCGAGAACTTGTTCGACTCCTGAGACCTGGTGGAAAGGCGCTCATCTATGTCTGGGCAATGGAGCAAGAACATAATAAGAAGAAGTCCAAGTACCTTAGAGAAAACAGAGTCAGCCCAGGGAGGGAGGAGCTGACCAGCAATGAAATGTCGGCGCAGGAGGTGCCTGCGAAGCACACGCCTGACTTGGGCAGTCAGGACTCGGCACGTCCTGTCCCCTCCATCAGTGACTTTCAGGAGGGAGGCTGCGATTCAAGGAAAGCTACCAGTTCCAAGCTGCCTATTCACACTAACAGGACTCCTTTTCATTCTCAAGACTTACTGGTTCCCTGGCACCTTACGGGAAATCCTGGTAAAGACAGGCCTGTTGAGCCACTTGGTGCATTAGGATCCAGTGACCCGGGTGCTGTGTTTCATCGGTACTACCACGTGTTCCGTGAGGCAGAGCTGGAGGCTGCCTGCCGGACTCTGAGTGATGTCAGCGTGCTGCAGAGCTACTATGACCAGGGGAACTGGTGCGTGATTCTACAGAAGGTCTGATTATCCCTATGGATGTACGGCATGCAGGGAAGAAATGCTCAGCTTTTCTGAAAAAGGAGATTAAATTACCTGCATTTTTAGTTAAAGTTGTGGAAAAGTATCAAAGGAGAGTCCTGGGGGAAATTCGGAAGTAGAGCTCAGTTGGGAGGTGTTCAGTCTGCCTGGTACTGCTGACCCCACTCAGTCCACAGACGCAGGCTTCTGTTACAGGAGGGGCAGGCATGCTTTTTAAAGTGACTGATGTAGTCTGTGAAATACCTGGGATCCTAGGGTAACAGTAGGGTAACATTTTGAAGATAAACTTTTGTTATAAAGTATTACTAAATGAACTAAATCATGTAAAACCTGAGTGAAGTAATCACATAACATTTTAATAAAGAAAAAATTCCTATTCAGTAGAAAATTGTCTGAAGTTTCATCTGTGATTGTTAGCTCTGTAAACTCACAGATGAAAACCACTCTGTCCCCTATACCTTACTAGCACGAGGCTTGACACATGGTAGGTGCTCGGTAAAATTTTAAGTCAATTGTTTTTGTTTTTGTTTTTGTTTTTTGAGTGAAGATAGATTTATTCAGAGAGATACATTGAAAGGCAAGAGAAAGGCCACGAGGTGTGGGGGTTGGGTGCTCAGATTAAAAGTAGGTACGCACTCCGTAGACAGGGTGCAGGCCGTTTCCGAAGAGGGAGAGAGAGGGGGCGGCCTAAAATTTTAGTTGGATAACACCCATGCATTGGTAGGAACTTTCATCCAACAAGTGCTTTTTGAACCTCTACTATGTACCAGTTACTATTTTAAGTTCTGGGAGGGGAGCAGTGAACAAGAAAGAACAAAGTCCATGTCCTCATGGAGCTTACGTTCTAGAAGGAAAGGAGTAAGCAAATAAATAGACATTTGTGATAAAAGCCATGGGAAAAAAATACGAAACAGGAGGAGGTTTCACTTAAGACCAAAAGGTTATTTTTAATGGGCTGAAATAAGCCCTAATCCTGACTATAGTTATTACCAAGAGTTCATTGGTACTCCTAATGCATTGGTCTAGGTGCTAAAGGCAACCCAAATATGTTCGTTTAACTCCTTTATTTAAATAGCAAAAGTTAGAATTGTCAGTTAGACCTAATTATGCCCCGATAAAAGCTTCAGTCACATTATTGGGTATTTTGAGTTCTTTCATAGTTTGTCCCAGCTTAGTGCCATCAGGGGTTATGTTTACCTACGTCTGTGCCATAGTTGCCCAGTTCAGTTACCACTTAGGTCAGGTTTCCAGGAGGAAAAAACTATCATGCACGAGGGGAAGTGTTTTGGTTTATTCTTAATACTTTACTCTCGGCTTGTATTGCTTTGTAGTAGAGATGCTTACGACTACTTAAAGAAAAGTTGCTCTCTGTGAGTGATAGCTGCCCAGACAATGATTTATCCTGTTACTAAACGTTAGTGATGCTCATCATCAGCATGAAGCTTTCAGAAACAGCAGTGCCCGGTAATAAGTCTTAGATGAGACTCTAATGGCTTTTGCCGTGGAACTTCAGTACGGGGTTACAGTTGTTACCTCTAGATGATTTGTAAGGTTCATGATATGAGAAGAAAACATCATAGGGCTAAAAATAGTGTTATTTCTGATACAAATTCTAGAACTTTTCATCACAACTTGAAGTTCAATTCATACTAATACATTTTAAAATCTAGATGAAATAGATGATTTCCTTTTTTTATATTTAAAGAGTAAGCTAATTATTTTTAAATGTTTATATTTACAGAACAAAACTTTACACGTAAGGTACAAAATTTACATAGAGCTTTTTAAATATATGAGAGTATAGTCTTTCAAAATTCTATTAGAAATCTAGAAAATTTAGAGGAAAAAGAAAAAGCTAGAAAAAAGAAAACAAAACCCCTGCTGTGGACCACAGACAGTCACAGGAGGCACGGTCAGATCTGCGCCAGCCTGGTGGTGAGTGGCCTTTCTACCTCCCCGCACATCTGGAGTCTAAGATGTTCTTACAAGAATTCAGAGAGACTCAGTCTGCCTTTGTCTAACATCTTCAGTCAGAAAGATTGCCCTGATACTTTCTGTTTCTTAAAACCTACCCTATCTTTTAAGACTCAACTCAAGTTTTCTCTTTTCATGAAGCTGTATCTAGAACACAATCTACTGAGATTTAATTTTTCCTGGTTTGTATTTGTAAAACAAACATACTGTATGATTCTGTAGCATCTTCCTTTGTACCTAAAAAATAATTTACTTACTTAAAAAATTGAAGTAGAGTTGATCTACAATCTTATATTAGCCTCATGTTTACACATAATGATTCAAAATTTTTATAGATTCTTCTCCACTTATAGTTATATTTGTTTCAGACAGTGGGTAAATTTTCATAAACTGAAAGAACACTCTACATAAAACTTCTTTCACCAACTTGTAAAAGGCACGTGCATTTGACTATATGAGAAGTAAGCCTTTCCATGCAATCTGAAAGGCTTTCACTCTGGTCTGCCCTGAACAGAGGGAGCTTAGTGCAACTTTAGAAGTGGAAATAGCAGTGTTACAGGTCTCTCAAACAATACAGTGGCTCTCCTGTAAGTAAGTCCTACTGGCCTGCAAAGTCAGATGTTCTGGGGGTTCATCTTCCTGGTGGAGTTCCCCTGGTGGGGTTGCTCAGAACCCTTACTCTTTGGGGAGAATCTCTCCAGTTGTAATTATCCCCCCATTAATAGGTTGGCCACTTGTGGGCATGAGTCTTGACTATACTGTGTTTCTGCTCCTCCTACCCATCTTGTTGTTGCTCCTTCTTTATATCTTTAGTTGTAGAAGATACTTTTTGCTAGATTTGGTCTTTCTCATTAATACTGTTCGGTAAATAGTTGTAATTTTGGTGTGCCTGTGGGAAGACATAAGCTCAAGTTCTTTTAATCTTGGCCATGAGGGGAATTTCCTTCTGTTGGTGGGAATGTAGTTTGGTGCAGCCATTATGGAGATTCCTCAAAAAAACTAAAAATAGACTTACCATATCATCCAGCAATTCCACTCCTGGGCATCGATTTGGAGGGAACCCTAATTGGAAAAGACACCTGTACTCCAGTGTTCACAGCAGCACTATTTACAACAGCCAAGACATGGAAACAACCTAAATGTCCACTGACAGATAACTGGATAAGGAAGCTGTGGTGTATTTATACAATGGAATACTACTCAGCTATAAAAAAAGAATAATGCCATTTGCAGCCACATGATTGGACCTGGAGATTGTCATTCTAAGTGAAGTAAGCCAGAAAGAGAAAGAAAAATACCATATGATATCACTTATATGTGGAATCTGAAAAAAAAAAAGAGAGACAAATGAACTTATTTTACAAAACAGAAACAGCCTCACAGACATAGAAAACAAACTTACGGTTACCAGAGGGAAAGGAGGTGGGAAGGGATAAATTGGGAGATCGAGATTTGCAGATACTAACTACTGTATATAAAATAGATAAACAACAAGTTTCTACTGCATAGCACGGGGAACTATATTCAAAATCTCGTAGTAACCTATAATGAAAAAGAATACGAAAATGAATATATGTATGTATACGTATGACTGAAACATTATGCTGTACACCAGAAATTGATACATTGTAAACTGACTGTACTTCAATAAAAAAGTTCAGTCAGATAAAAAAAGATCTTAGTTTCAGAATGTAGTCCTCCTTCCTATATTGCAGTAGTCCTTTTTTTTTTTTTGCAGAGGAGGGAGGTAGTTAGGTTTATTTATTTATTTAATGGAGGGACTGGGGATTGAACCCAGGACCTCCTGCATGCTGAGCAGATGCTCTACCACTGAGCGATCCCCTCCCCCACTGCAGTAGTCTTTTTAAAAGAAGTCTTTCCTTACCTAAATCTGAATTTGTTTTTTATTTGATAGTTTCTAAATACCATTTTAAACTAAAATATACCATGGATTCTTGGAAAACGGGCTGATTCCAAGGCTTAGGCAGAGAAAGGACAAGATGAGCCTCAGTCATCTTTTTGTACCAGAAATTAAGGAAATGCTCAAAGAATATGGAGGCATGTGAAAAGCTCACAGACACCAGGTTGGGGCTCTCACTGGCCAAACCAGGGCATCAAAATAAATTCTAATAATATATTATTATTCCACTGAATAACAACACGAAATCTACTGAATAGAAACCATGAGTCCATTCTAATACAAAAACTAATGAGTAATTTGCAAGTTTGATGATAAATTTGTGTAATTTCTGTTGGGCTGCACCCTACGGGCCTGCAAGCCCTGAAACTGCCCATTCTCAAGACTGAAGAAAGAGCCTGAATTCAGCGACAAAGTCATCACTGGTTTAATGAATAGAAAGGATCTTACAAAAACAAAAGGGTCTTGGAGTGACAGCCCACAGCGGACGACAGATGGCAGGCAGGACATGGCAGCAGTCTTTGCTACCTGAGGGAGAGGGAGGTTCCCGGTTTCTGGGGGAATGGACATCAGGTTGGCTCACTAGTTACCAGGGAAACCAGTAGAGGAGCATGCCTGTCACCACTTCTTTGATAAACTATCATAGTGGAGAGAGTTCTGATCTAAAGATTAGAACAATCATTAGCTGGGGCCAGGGGTAAGCAAGTAGGTATTTACTGATTAAGCTCTATGATTAAGAGGGAAGGTCAGTCAAATGAGTAGGTTGTGGGTGTGGCAGGGACTGGCTGAGCAGGGGATGTACAGACAGCAAGACAATAGCCATCTGGGGTGACCTGATCATGTAGTTTCAAAGATCTGTCTCACAAAATACTTCCTAATTACAAAGGGAAGTTTTTTTTACAATAGAAAAGTTTTCCAGATGCCACTTTATTTACATGATCAGAGTTAACTAATAATAGAACAAATGGAAATAATTGTGTGTCCTGATAGGACACAATGAGAACACAGTCATACTTCTGTGGTAGTTCTGCCCAAGATGCCTAACCTGAGTCTAACCACAAAGAAACCTCACACAAATCTACGCTGAGCGTCA